ACATAGGAGAGACATGTTTAATTTTGAATATTTTGAAATTATGTTTGATCTTAGCCAGAAGGTTGAGAAACTATGAATATCTTTAAAAAGAGAATGACAAATGAATGTAAACATAGATTTGAGAAGCTTTTGAACACTAAATATTAGGGTGATTATCAGGCTGTATTTGCTCATGCCGAAGTCATCTAGTGACTAATCAAATAGGCTATCTGGGAAATAAATGTTATTCCTTAGTAAATATATGACCTAGAAATAGCCATCAAAATCACCTCTCATGAGAAACAGCCTGGTTAAGATAGCTAATTCTGTTTTTTTTTCCTTTTTTTTATTGGTTGTTCAAAACATTACAAAGCTCTTGACATATCATATTTCATACATTAGATTCAAGTGGGTTATGAACTCCCATTTTTACCCCAATAAAGATTGCAGAATCACATCAGTTACACATCCACATTTTTACATAATGCCATATTAGTAACTGTTGTATTCTGCTACTTTTCCTATCCTCTACTATCCCCCCACCCCTCCCCTCCCATCTTCTCTCTCTACCCCATCTACTGTAATTCATTTCTCTCCTTGTTTATTTTCCCATTCCCCTCACAACCTCTTATATGTAATTTTGTATAACAATGAGGATCTCCTTCCATTTCCATGCAATTTCCCTTTTCTCTCCCTTTCCCTCCCACCTCATGTCTCTGTTTAATGTTAATCTTTTCCTCCTGCTCTTCCTCTTTGCTCTGTTCTTAGTTGCTCTCATTATATCAAAGAAGACATTTGGCATTTGTTTTTTAGGGATTGGCTAGCTTCACTTAGCATAATCTGCTCTAGTGCCAGGATAGCTAATTCTTAACTGTGAGAATTGCTATAACTATTATAGATGCCTATCTATCTGCTTTTAACACCTGACCCTCATTGTTTTGCAGCCATCCTGAAATATTTGTGCCACTTCTGAGGACAGGTGCCAGAGTGGTTTGAGCAGGGACATTGGGGTCAGACTACCTAGATGAGCACCTGACTAGACAACTTACCTATCCGGTGACATGGAGCAAGTTACTTAATTTGTTTGTGCTCCCATTTTCTCATCCATTAGGTGGAGATCATAACAGTGGTGCCTCTTAGGGCAGTTGTGAGAGTTAGAAGAACTTAGGACCACGTGTGACAAGTGGTAAATGGCTAGACAGATTTTTGTTGTTATTCTTCTTTAATAGGTGGTCTCTCTTTGCCTCTGGACCTTTACATGGTCTCTTCTCTTTCCATCTTTTTTCAGGGGACAGATTCTCATTTATTCCTCAAGACATAGCCCAGTGGTGGTCCCTTGGTTTGGGAATATTTATCTATGTGGCCCTAGCCTGGGCTACATCTTCTGTACATTTCCAGCTACCTGGCTATGACAACATAACCCTCATGACACAGTATTGATTCTGTTGAATTACCTGTCCATGGGAATTGTGAGAGTAGATTATTTATTTTTTTATGTTTTTGGAGCATGGAGGAGATACTGGTCCCTCCCCCTACACTATAACAAATAAAAACAAATCATACGTTGTATATTGAATGGATAAATGGACCATTTCTTCTATTCTCTCTTGCCCTTTCTTCTTTCCTATTTTCTTTCCATCTTTCTTCCTATCAACCTTCCTATTTACCTCCCTTCCTACTTATCCCCTTCCCTAACTTCTTAATTTCCTCATTTCTTTTACCTTCAGACTTGGCACTGAATGTATATTCTTAGTTGTTCCTCATAGGAGCAGGTAGGTATTACAATGATTTCCACTTTGTAGAGGTGGAAACAATAGGCAACTCATCCAACCAAAATGCCATTTCCTTTACAAAATTGTCCTTCCAGTGTTGCTGCCTCTGCTCAAATCATTTCAGCAATTTTTCTTTGGAATTCCCTCTGGCCAGTTTATAAACCATACGAGAAAATAGATCTTATTTTGGTTACTCTCAGAAAAGATACTTTCTATTCTGATCATCCTGATTTATCATGTTTGTCTCCAAATAAATTTGGATCATCTCAGAAATCCAAACCATCTTCAAAGGATGAAGATTTGCCATCAATAATATTTAATTGAGCTGGGTGTGGTGACACACACCTATAATCCCAGTGGTTTAGGAGGCTAAGGCAGGAGGATCACCAATTTGAGGCCTGCCTGAACAACTTAGCTCCTAACTCAAAATAAAAAATAAAAAGGGGCCAGGGATGTAGCTCAGTGGTAGAGTACCCCTGGGTTAAGTCTCCAGTTGAAAGGAAGGAAGAAAGGATGAATATTTAATCAGAAGACAGTTGTTAAAGCATGCTCCCAAGAGACTTGGCAGCAGCTACATCACTAAATGCTATATATTCTCTTGTGGGCTTTGTTTTGATTGGTTTAGTGCAATATGGAAAAATATTGTATTAGCATTTGTTTCCACCTCATTTTTTTATTACAGCTTTATTGAGGTATATATTTATCCCATGTAAAGTGTAAAATTCATCAGTTTCAGTATATTTACAAAGCTGTATAACTAACATCTTAGAACATTTTTATCATCTCCCAAGGAAATCCCATACTATTTAGTAGTTACTGTTCATTTCTTCTTTCCCACCCTCCTGGCAATTATTAATTTATTTTCTATAAATTTGCTTATTCTGGACATTCATTAGTGGAATCATAAAATTTGTAATCTTTTGTGATTAAATTCTTTCACAATGACAAAATGTTTTCAACATTTATCCTTGTAGTATATACTACTGCTTTAATACTTTTTATGGCTGAATAATATCCCATTGAATGAAAATATCATACTTTATTTACCTATTTGTCAGTTGTTGACATGGAATATTTCCACTTTCTGTCTAATATGAATAACATTGCTATGAATATCCATGTATGAATCAATTGAAAAATAGATAAATGTGGTTTATCCCAATTTTGGAATAATCCTTATAGAAAGGAATGAAATACTGAGACTTTATTATATCATGGATAAACCTTGAAAACATGCTAAGTGAAAGAAACCACTTACTATATGATTCTGTTGTTACGAAATATCTAACATGGGTAAATCCATAAAGACCGGAAGTAAATTAGTGGTTACCAGGGCTGTGGAAGGGTGAAGGGGATGGGGAGTAACTTGTAAAGCGTTTCTTTCTGAGGTGATAAAAATGTTCAAAAATGTGTTGTGTTGGGCTGGGGATCTAGCTCAGCTGGTAGAGTGTTTGCCTTGCAGGCACAAATTTCAATCCCCAGCAACACCAAAGGAAAAAAAAAAAGTTGTGTTGATGATTGCACTTTGTGAATATTCTACAGCCTACTGAATTTTACATTTTATATGGGTGCATTTTATTACAAAAATAATTCATAATCTCTATTGTTTAATGCATACCAGTTGCTACTTTCCCTGCAGTACTCTGAGAGGTGCTGTGGCATGTGGATGAGAATGGTACTTGTCTCCTATGATCTAAGAAGTTCTCAGTGGACATTCCTAAATAGTGAAGAGAAGTAGATATTCATATGATCCAATGGTGTATCACACAGTGTTAGTTTCTGGTAATAGGCTACTCTCAGAAAGATCTCAACACTTCTAAGTATCAACCATAGGATTTCAAAATGGTGACTATCCCAATGTTTATATAACGTAGACATAGTGTTTTCCATCATGTATAACATTGTGAATGCCCTGTGGGCAGGAGTCTTGCTTTATGTCCATCTTGAGTCCTGTGTTTAGCATTGTATTTTGTCCACAAATAGGATTATGTGTCTGTGAATGAATGAGTAATTGCTGTTTTTGAAGTCTCCTGGTTTTGTCCCTAGGACAAAAATACCTTCAGGCTTATGGCTGCCTCCTCCAATTGGCTCTGCGGGGAAGGTGTTGCTGAATTGACCAAATGACTTCATGCAAGGGTTTCTTTTTTCACAACTGGTAACAATTTTGTTTCTGTGGTGCTTCTACTCTGATTTTGGTTGTAGTGGCTACCTGAAACAACATATGGGTATTTTTGGAGTGTTGTGATTTCCTCCCTGGTAAGACACCCAAGACTTTGGGTCTTGTGAGATTTAGGAAAATGAAAGATGGAATAAACCTCACAATTATTATTTTTCTTTTTCGTTTTTACTTCTTTCCCCCCTCCCCCAACATGTATCAAACTTCAGTGCTATAGATGCTGTGTAGCTTATGGGTCTTTGCTCTAATAAGATTTTTTTTTTCTTTTTTCCTTCTGTAAAGGTACTCTATGTTGATTAAGTGCTTTTTGTTAAATATCCTTTGCTTGCACTGGACTTCTCTTTGTGTTGATTTTTTGCTTCATTTTTTTTTTCCATTTCTCATGCTGTTCAGTTACTGGATGCCAGAAGAACCAAGGTTTGTCCACTCTTTGCAGCTTGTTTGTTTTGCTCTGTATAGCCTCACTTCCTTGTGTGTTTGGGTGTGTTTGTCTGTGTCTGCATTTGTTCCCTTTTGCTTGCAGAGGCAGTAATCCTGTTTACTAAACCTGTTCGCAGCTTTATTTGTAAAATAAATAAGTAAAATTTTAAAAAGTCCCTGTTTATGTCTACTTGTAGTGGATGCCATTATTTTCATTTTTAAACGGACATACATTTAACAGGAAAAATAATGGATAGTAGAATAAAGAACATCTTAGGAAACAAGGAATACTGAGTCTGGAGTGTTGTGGGCATAAATAGGATGTGTTTGTGAAAGTTTCCCTCTAACCCTTTCACTTCCTAAATTAAAGCTCTATAGATGTATACTTTCCCTTGTGATTGACACTAATATACTGTTTCTGTGTATGTGTACATTTCTTTTCTCCTAAGACATTCAGAAAGCATCACTGAATTAATATCCCCCTTTCCATGTGCTGTCCCATGCTTCTGAAGTCACCATGGAGGACTTCATGGCTGGCCCCCTGGAACTCATGATTAACATTCCATTTTCATGGTGTGGAAGCAGCAAACAGTGCCTGACACTTTCATTGACTTTTTTACTTTTCCTATCCTGCTCTGTCTTTCTCATCGTAGCACCTGCAGTTGACAATCCAGGCTCTTCAGGATGAGCTGCGAACCCAGAGAGACCTCAACCACCTCCTGCAGCAGGAGAGTGGCAACCGTGGAGCGGAGCACTTCACCATTGAGCTGACGGAGGAGAACTTCAGGAGGCTCCAGGCTGAGCATGATAGACAGGCCAAGGAGCTCTTCCTGCTGAGGAAGACCCTGGAGGAAATGGAGCTAAGAATCGAGACACAGAAACAGACCCTCAACGCCCGAGATGAATCGATCAAAAAGCTCCTGGAGATGTTGCAAAGTAAAGGTTTACCATCCAAAAGCCTTGAGGATGACAACGAGCGGACGCGCCGGATGGCAGAGGCTGAATCTCAGGTCAGCCACTTGGAAGTAATTTTAGACCAGAAAGAGAAGGAAAACATTCATCTGAGAGAGGTAAGACATTCACTCACTTTCTCTTATTTTATAAATTAAGTTGTTAGCAAGTTATTTTCATAGGTGGGAAGATATCTTCAGCTTTAATAAAATTTCCTTCATCATCTGCTTTATAATCATTCTGTCTGCTTATGACCATATTAAACTGGAATTTTACCTTAGTTTCTTCCTCTTTTCACCACATATGCATTCCATTCATATTCAGGTACTCGGGATCCAAGCATGTGCAGCACATGATAATCCTAAAGTGGTTTACAGTTGTTTCCCACAGGTGGCGATAGTTTTGGGGTCTTTTAAGTACAGCACTACTTAAGCTTAKTTGTTTATCAAACATCATCTCTTTAAAGGAACAAAACAAATAGGTTATTAGCAACAGAGTGAACTTAAATATTTTTTATAACTGAATTGAGGGTAGAATGTACAGGAAGTAAAACAAATGGGTGTTTCTGGAAAGAATGGTAAACTGTGCAGACCAATTTTGAACGTTTACATTTAAGATAATCTTTGTCTGCATTTACATTTGTCTAGGACACAGTGTTTTGGGTTTTCTGAGTATGTGTTTTGCCCTTAGTGGATTAAATCATTGAAGTCCTTTACAGACAGTCTGTCTGGTTTTCTACCACCATTGAAATGTTGTGATGCTCAGATATCTGAGAATATGTGGTTGGGTAAAGGTTAGAAAAAAATGTGGGTGACAGCCAGGGTTTGAAATTGTTCCAGAAGTTACTTGCCACTGTGGTGGATACAGACCTTGAAAGTGTCATGTAGGCAAATATACTGAAGGGGACATGCATCACACAGCAAATCATAAGCAATAAAGTGGCATTAAATATATTTCAAAATATTCTACAGCAATAAATAATTCCAGAGCAGACTAGATTTCTTGGCATTGACTACCTGTTCAGATGGGCATTCCTTCTTGTGAGTCACTTGTTCAGAAAACCTGACTTTCATGTTGGGATTTGCTAAAATGCAAATGCTCCCAGGAGTTTTCTCTGATGGAGATTGTATTTGGTTAGAACATTTGAACAAACTTTGTCTTCAAACCTAATGATCTCTATTCTGATTCTCCCTTATGGTTTTCTTTTATTTTTTCATGAGATCTTAGCCACATACTTGGGAAGCCACATGGCTTTGTTTCATACTGAGATACTTGAAGCGATGTTTTGTTGAGCAGAGTCTTCCCATCCATATTCCAAGAGAATGAATATGGTGGGAAGACTTGTAAGATGATCCCCAGTGATCCCTGCCTCTTGGATTCACATCCTTCTGTAATTTCCCTTCCTTGAGTATTGGCTAATGTGTGACTTGCATATAAACAATAGAATATGGCAAAGGTAATGAGATGTCAATGTCACATCCATGATTAGGTTTCTTAAGACTATTATTTCAATCTTGCTAGCAGACTGTGTTGCCTCCTTCACTTTCATGCTTTGGTAAAGCAGGCTGCTATGTGGAAAGGCTCATGTGGTAAGAGGTGAGGGTAGTCTCCAGCCAATATACAGTGAGGAATGGAAGTACTCAGTCTGACAGCTTTGAATCACTGAAAACTGCCTACAGTCACTTAGTGTGCTTAGAGGTGGAACCTTGTACAGTCAAGCCCTCAGATGGAATGACAGCCTCTGGGCTGACACTTTACAGCTTGTGAGAGACCATGAAGCAGAGAAACCAGGTAAGCTATGCCTGGATTACTGACTAATGGAATCTGTGAGTTAATAAACGTGTGTTTTTTTATGCTGATGAATTCTGAAATGATTTGTTATAGTAATAGATAGCTAATACAGTAGATCAGATATTAGTCCTCTCCCTGTCTCACTCCATAAACTTCCCATGTAGTTTACAGAAGAGAAATAATAATCCTGGTATTTATTACTTGCATGTAGATTGACTTTGGATTTTAAAATTTTGCTTGTGTTTTCTCAAAGTTATGGTTGATAGAGAATCACTACAGTTGAACAAACAGCTTTTATTTTGAGTACCAAGGGACAATGTTGTATGTACAGCAAGGCTATGATGCCAGAGAAACCTTCATCTGCAGCATTATTCATTACTCTACAGCATCTAGTAGTCAGGGTGGACTCACTCTTCTTCTATTATTAGATTCTGTTATTTGGTAATACTTAATAGATGCTACATTCATCCTGTTATGTGGCTAAAAACAATTCCACTTGTGTTTTCTGAAACTGGTTGGTCCTCTCACAATGGTCTAGCGTGGATACAGATCATGTTTAGAGCATTGACCATCAATTTGAATGCATACAAAGGGTGGTTCAGAAAATGAAGCCCAGAACATCCAACTCATCTCCTTGAGCATCAAACTAACCTCTGTGGATAGGCCATGTCTTGGGTCATCAAGAAGAAAAGAATGTAGAATATGTGTCTCTATATAAAAGTCATTTTCAATTTGAACTCAATGAATAAGACTTGGAGACATGAAAGAATCCTTTCCAAGAGAAGGGTTGTAGTAGCTTCTGAGAGTCATTTATTAAAATTTCAGGAGGGCTGGGGATGTGGCTCAAGCGGTAGCGCGCTCGCCTGGTATGCGTGCGGCCCGGGTTCGATCCTCAGCACCACATACCAACAAAGATGTTGTGTCTGCCCAGAACTAAAAATAAATAAATAAATAAATATTAAAAAAAAAATTTCAGGAGTTGTGTGTGAGTTGTCCATTAAATCATTGATATCCTGAAATTAGTCCTAGTTGGAATATTATCACCATGGAAATTGGTAAATACTACTCTCATGGCTCACCCCTATTTCATTCCTGAATGCTTATTTATTGGCATACCTCTGAATAAATGAAATGTCCTCAATGTATTAAGAAGACTCACTGCATCTGAAAGTTAGAAATTGAAAGAATTGAGATTATAAGTGCATTAACCACTCATAGTTTATCAAAAGTTTTCAAAAGGGTCTGTATAGTTGTTTGTGTGTCAGGCACTATGAAGTGCTCTACACTGATTAATGGTGAACTCACAAAACTACCTCATTTGTTTATTTATTCACTAATTCATTTATTCATTAATTGGGTGAATTCTTATTGAAGATCTGTTTGGGAATATAGCAAAGAAAACCATAATTTGGCTTCATGGGTGCTTGAATTCTATTGGGAAGAAATAGATGACAATTTCATAGTTAAGAAAATGTCCTGAAGAAGATAAAGCACTAGTGAGCTGGGAGTGACTTGGAGGGGGTGACAATATAAACTGAGACCTAATGACAAAAAGGAGTCAGCTATGTGAGGATCTCAGAAGACTGTTCTAGTCAGGAGAAAAGGCCCATGTCCTAGGAGGTAGCTGCCATTATTTGGCCATTTTACCTGGGACAAGTGACATCAAGAAGTTTGCTCAGTGTCACACAGCTAACAAATGTATAGCTGTTATTTGAATCAGGCTGACTCTAGAGTCTCAGCTCTTAAACTACTTATTTATATTCCTTTTCTCAAAGAATCTTGCCCAAAGTGTGCTGGGCAGAATAGCCATTTTGTGGTAAGTTGATGTGTTATGAGAGAAAAGGGGCTTGAGGGCCAAATGAACTTGGGGACATGCTGGGTTCTACCGAGTTTACCACAACCTCCTATTCTCCAATATGCCAGTGTGTAGTGCTCATTTCCAGGCAGCAGACTGGGGAAGGCAGAGCTTCTCAAGAGTATTTGGCTCACTGTTCTCTTGCTGCATTGGTGTCCTTTTAAGACATTTTTGAAAAATGCTATTTTAGAAAATGAAAATTGTGCTATTAGTTGTGACCAACGAAATACTTAATAATATACAAATAGTTGTTTCCCTGTGCCAAGTAACTGAGAAATTTCCTTCATTAGTTATTTTGTAAGGCCAAGTTTATCGTAAGCTGTTTCCATAGTCTCCACTGAGTTTTACAATGTACTTCTATCAGGTTATTTTAAAATTTTTTAATAGAAAAATGTGTCTGACCACTTTTGCTATTAAACCAGTAAGAATAACTCTGCTTGAATAAAGTGGTTGCCTGACCTAGGTTAATTTAAATGAATCTAAAACAGAGTTTAAAATGTACTTGAGGTTTTAAAAAAGTTCAGTATGTTCTTGATTTCTTTTTCATTATGCATGGTTGGACCAGGTTGAGGCTAGATGGTGTAATGCTGGGGAATGGAGTGCTAGTGGTTTTATGATTCATTCTCAGGCAGAGGTGTTGGACCTCACATAAACCCTGTCTTCTGGTCTTGTTCAGCCTATTGTTTCAGGATGTTTGGAGTTGGCAGGAATTGCACATGGGGTGGGTGGGTTGCTTTACTATCTTGTTGTCTTTCAATGGTCTGGAAAAGGCTGAGGGTGACACCCACTCCTTTGTCTGGTAGGAAACAATGGTGAAAAGGTTGTGATCTCAACTTATTTGGAAGATGGAAATCATTGCCCAGGAACTATGGCTAATGTAAGCCCCAGGCTTGGCTGAGCCCCAGCATTACTCACTAGTGTATTGTGATGCATTTTGATACAGGTTGATTTGATAAGACAGTGTTTAATGTGGTAATGGTTTACCTTGTTCTTTAGGTTTTCCTGCAAAGAACATACTGTTCCCTGTAAAGTACCCTAAATATTGCTGATCTGATTAAAGAAAAAAATGGGTTTTTATATCAGGATCCTCTTATGCTTAACCTGCATACTATTTTTCTTGACTGGTCCTCAGAAGAAAGTCAGTGGACTTGGGACATGTCTCACTCTTTAACTGCCAAGCCCATTGATCTCCTATTCTAATACCTTCTGGCAGTGCAGTTTGCCTTTTTTTAGTTGTAGGGGCAGATGAAGACTCAAGTCATGGGGGCCACATTTGCTAATAATCCAAGACAGGCATAACCTGCAGGAGATGGGACCTGAGCTTCCCTCTGCGCTGTGGGTGGGCAGAAAGGAGAAGCAGGTAACATGAATTCTTGGTCAGATTTCTGAGGCCAGTGGGAGATTCACCAGGGCAAAGGTTGTGATCAAGAAGTTCTTGAGTTTTTAGGTCTTTTATTGATGGCTCAAACCTCC